GTAGTTTGCACAGTACAGTGGATTTCATGAATGTTTTTTCAAAGTGAAGCAGAAGATAGCTTTTCTGCAACCCACACTGTTAAGGTCATAGGTATAAAATTGAATTTGGCAAAGAAATGATGATTGTTTGGAAAAGCCATGGAAAGCCATGGAAATGCAAAAGCTGGTGCGTTTCTTCTGACTCACTAATGCTATTTATTTATCTGTTTATGTATATATATATTTTTTGAACCTGCTACGGACCTGCTATATGGCAACACTTCAAAATGCTGTGGTAGTTACAGAGTTGTCATCAAGCTTTACCTTGAGAGCATGCTAAGATCTTGAAAACGATCTTTTTTCCTTCCTCTTTAAATTAACAGCACACAGAAAAAAAATACATTTCAGTGTTTTCACATTTTTGTGATCCTTCAGTTTGAAAAACTACTTATTGTCTTAAGTGTCTATTTTGAACAGTAAATCAGAAATGAGTGAAAGTAAAATAGCAAACGTTTAGGGACTTGCTCAATGCCTATTGAGGTCAATGAGAAACTTTCTGCTGACTTGAGTGAGCAGGTTATTCATGGTGAACAGCCTAACAAATCATCAGTGAACGATGTGACAAGACTTTGTTTTTGTTTTCTCTTCAAGGTTTCTAATAAAATGTGGATGGGCATGTTTTTCTATAAATGCAGAGTGGATTACTAAATAACAGTGCTTGTGTAGCACAACACAAGGGTGAAATGGAGAACTGAATGTACATGCATAAAAGAATGCATGGATATATAAACATAAGGAAAGATCCTGCAGCTCGTGGTGCTAAGGCCTGCCTGTATGGATTTGGTTGTAGAAAACACACTTAGAGTAGCATAAAGCACACCTAGAGTAGCTTAGCAGTTACTCTAGTAACAAAAAAACTGCTTTTAAAACATACTTATGGACAGTTGCCTGCTAATGTTTGGAAGGCAGAATACAAATTAAATGCAAATAAAAACTGTACCCTTGTGTTTTATTGCTGAAATTCACGTGGGTGTTTACTATGCTTGGCTGCAACTTGATACCCCCCCATAGCTATAGCACTATGTCACAGCTGGAAATTGCAGCCTTAGTGCAATGGACCCCATCTATTTTGTCAATCAGTTGGTGACAAGGGAGGATTTATATGATTTGTGGTCTGCTGAAGCAATTATTTGCATTTGAATAAATGTCTTAATTGCATATTCTTATGAGAGTGACGACGTTATTGATTCATTAGTCCAAGACTTTTACAAGTCTCTCATTTATATTTCTGTAGTAGTTGGTAATAACCCTGAAATCATTGCAGTTAATATTTGGAAGTTATAAGAAGGTTTTAAGCCAGTAATCTGCATGTTAAGCAGTCTCTGGTTCTAGTGGTGTCTGCCTGTAATGAGCATCTAAGAGATACTTCTTTTATATACGTTTCCTCTGCCATTAGGACCTATATGTGTATTCAGATAAGCCCCTTGGGTAGTGTTGCAGTGCTGAATATGAAATGTCTTTACAGAGGAGACACAGAGGGAAAATTGTCTTTTGCCCCCCTCTCTCTTCCTCCTAGATATTTTGAGTAGGATGGTTTGTTCTGAAAGAAAAATTTCACAGAAAAACAAAGTCCTATCAACCCATCAGCAATCTCCTTCACAGCCAGCGTAAAGGGCCGTTCTTCTGGCTCGCAGTCGTGACGGGTAAGATCAAAGCTGGGCAAGAACAACTCTAGCTGTTGCTGCCAGGGCATCCAGCCGTGCCACAGACCCTTTGAGCGTTTCTCTCCAAAGCTTGCAGCACTTTCATTTTGTCACTGCGGTGTGAGGGCTGCTGAGTGGCACCCAAATTTCATGATCTCTCCCTCGCGTTTTGTTGTGGGTTGGTGCATGCTTATATGTATTGTGGGGGGACTCTTTCCAATGTTTTATGTTGTCTGGGCTGGAACACTGTCCAACTGTACCACCTACCTCTAGTTCCATTTTTAATGTCATTAAGCAGAAAGAGAATATTTGGCATTGCTAGCTTTGCAATGTTATGATTAATCTTGAGATAACCGGTACTTTTCCGAAAGCCTGAGCCTCTAATCTGTTCAGTGTGCTTGAATCACTCCTCCTTCTCCCTCTCCCATCTTAGTGTTAGGGTCATTATTTTCCTATTATCCCTCTCTAGTCAATGGGAAGAAATAAAGAACTGTATGCAATAGTTCTGGGCTCTGAAGGTCTTTCTCTAGGTGTCTGCAATAGGTGGGACGCATGTGGGCGCACATTTTTGCGTAGAGAATCTTGAAACCTATCAAACCTGTGGAATCAAGAGCCAAAATACAATTAATAATCTTCTCGTCTTTCATTTTAATATCTCAAGATATTTTAAACAAAGACATGAGTTTTGGGGACTTGGCTGAAATTTGTGAATGCTCGTGGATGACAGTAGTGGAAATGCGGAGCTTTGTGACCCCTCTAAGGGACAGGAGCAGCCAAGCAAAGTTGCCTTGAGTTGGCTCCTTTTCCCTGCAGCGCTGAGGACGTGATGATGCTTGTTTTTGTTTGTTGAAGAGACGGGAATGGAGCAGATTTGTCTGCCAACCTCTTCTCTTTCCTTTCTTTCTAAGTCTGGCGTTTTTGCTTTCTGCCAGCCGATTTGATGCCTCCCCCTCTCTCCTATTTCCACTGAAAACACTGCTCTAACAGGCCCCGCAGGAGGAGAGCCGAAGGCAGTGCCGGGGGGGCTCCCCTTCGTGCCGTGAAGGGCATCCTCTGTGTGCCAGAGCTGCCAGGGAAAGGGCGGTCTCCTCAAGATAAGCCTGTTCTCTGGGGCCACTTTGTTTCATGTGCCTTAAGGCATTGTATCGGCAGGTGAAGGGTTGTGTGCCACACGTGATTTGAATCTTTCGTGTTTTGCAACCTGCATGTGAAACATAACTTGGTTGTGCGCCTAAAGGAGGGCTTTGCCTGCTGCTGGGGAAGCTTCACGGAGTGTTTATCTAGGAAGGTGTGCTGGGTGAGGAAAATGTTCCTCAAATAAACTCACACTTCTCTTTCATAGTTTATTTTTAACCAAATACCTTTGGCTGCACCTCAGTGTTTTTTCAGTGGTCAGAGATAGTTATCTTACCAGAAAGTTTCCCTACTGGAATATATTCATGTAGTTGACAGCGTTCTCCTTTTAAAGTACATGAGCTGGCTTCGAGTTGGATTAGTTTTCCTTTTCCCGCTCCATGCGCAGATTACAATAAATTGTTGTTGTGATATATTAGTAACCTGCTGGGAAGCGAGACACCCTGATTAGGTGATTTATTGCAATTTAGTAATGTAGAAAGTCAGAACCCATAAGCCTGAACGTGCTTGAGCACGTATTCCTAATCCAAACATAGTGTTCGTAGCTGGGAATGATTTGTCAATCTGGCTGGGGTTTTTTGTGGGTTTTTTTGTGTTTTTTTTTTTTGTTTGGTTGGTTTTTTAATGTTGCCTGGAGACTTTTAACCCTCCTGCTATTGAGTTACCTGAAACTGCGACCAAGCACTGGATCTCCTCCAGGCTGTTACGAAAGGGACTGTGCTCCGTGTGGCTGGGCCGGCCGTTTACTGTGGCTGCAGTGGTTTATAGACGTGTTTCTGGATCCCGTCGGGTGTAAGAGCAGCGGGCTGGCTACCGAGTGAAGAAGCAGGAGCACAGGCTCGCTGCTTGCCCGGGGACCTGGCGGATGCTGCCGCCGACCTTACCCTGGCTGGTCCTGTTTGTCTGCTCTGCGTGACCCCTCCTGCGGATGCGTTTGGGGGCTGGCGGGGCGAGCAGAAAGCAAGCCATTTTCAAAACACCAGAGAAGTCGAAATGAGAGTTTCTCGTGTAGGAATGAGTTGCTCCCTCCTGTTTTGGCAGGGTAATGGGAGAAAACGTTTGCATTTTGAGAGACCTGAGTTGCAGGATAGGTTTAGTTTTTCCCTTAGATTTGATCCTTCAGATCAGTAATCAATAATGTAGTATAATTAATCAACATTTAATGTTTCCAAAGCCCTGCACAACTGTTAGGTAATTTATAGACATTTAGTTTCCAGTAGTTCTGTGGATTTCAACACTATTTTTCTTTTTTTTCTAAAGAGACTGAATTCCCAAGGCTGTACCAGCTACTTAGGATATAAGAATTGCTGTATGAAAGCATGCTTCTTTTCAGCTTGGTTTTTATTTACTCGGAGTAACTTTCTCAGTGGGGAATTTCCTTAAAATATCGAACTAATGGTTGTCTTCTCTTTACTTAAGGCCACTAGTAGTGAGTCAACTCTTGAGGTGTTTTCTTCTGTAGCTGATCTTCTAGGGCAGTTTATTTTCCAGTGCAGAGTAAAATAAACTTCGTGGATCGTTGGGAGGAAAAATAGATAATGGCAACAGCAATAATGAAGAAAAAGATATCCAGGCAAAGAAGAAAAGTAACACTTTATCTCAGAACGCACAGCGGACACAGTGTGATTCTTTGGGAAGCTACTCTGTGATTTTTAGCAAATGACAGGAATCTAATTTTCTTAACTGTGATGAAATTAAATTTGTAATGAATAATTTTAGAATATTCCTGTTTAATAGTTCTTAAGGTGTTTCACGTGCTTTTCACATCGATGCTTTGCCCTGTATGCTCACTTCCTAGAGCAGGAATTAACTCTTGACTCTCTCCTTATGGAGAGGGACAAACAGAAACAGAAAAGTTATGAATTCTGTTGAAGCATGGCCGTAAAGCAGGATCTGAGTTTTTAAAGAAGTAACCTTACATGCGTAGAATATCCCTTTTGTAGAGGATCATTAGGGTAAACTGCAATGTTGCAGGAGGGGGAGGAGGAGTTTTCAGCATGCACAAAATAAGGTAAAGCCTTTTGTACACTAGTATCTGAGAACTGCTGCTATTGCAGGCTTCGGAGAGAGGTGTAAACAGAAGAAGGAGGAAAAGAGGATAAAATTCTGGTCAACTACTACGTGTAAAAAGTTGATCTTAAGCTATTACTGTTTTCTTCTCGTTCATAGCATGGCCGGACCCCTCTGCATCTTGCTGCCCACAAGGGTCATCTCCACGTTGTCCAGATTTTGTTGAAAGCAGGTTGTGACCTGGATATTCAGGATGATGTAAGTAGATACAACCATCCTTGCTTGGGGTGGAGGGGGAAAAGCTATTGTTTCATCAGTAATTTTTAAATAAGACTAGAGCTTAGCTTCTTTGAAGTGGGATTAAATGAAAACAAAATATGTCTCCTGTATTTTTTTAATTGGGAGACGTAACCTGTAATTTGGAGATGAAAAACTGCACAGGAGACAAAGTAAAAATGGGTGTTTTTCAGTGAGTAACTTGGTAGTCATATTCAAGCCCCAGAGCTTTGTAAGAACTCTTGTTACACCGGGTCCGTGTGAGTAGCAAGGAGGGCCCTTGTCTACCATTTGATACAGAAGTGAAATAGAGTCATTGTAGCGTGCGGGAACCCACTGAAACGCTTCAGGGAGGGCACGTGATCTGTTGTGATGTTTGCCTAAGCGGGAGATGCTTTTGTGCAGATCTGTGTCGTACCATACAAAATATTGAACAACTACCCAGAGCACTATATGGGATCGCAGAGAAGTTGTCCCATTGTCAGTAGTGCGGGATGGACTGTCAGACTGTTGGGTGGTAAATCCTCGGCGTAATGTAATCAGCTTTGATTTCAGCAAAGGGTAGCTGGTTGTCATCAAGTAAAATATATAAGTTATTGATCTTTCTCAGTTCTCCATAGAAATAGTTCTAATATTGGACTAGGCTTTAGGCATCATTGGAGTGATCAGTAACCTCATTTTAGTTATCCCCCTCTGATGAGCAATGACATAGGTTGAAATAGGCAACAGCAGTTAAATAACCATGACTCCCTTCAGGTTCGTTGCTAATTTCTGCCTATAATGTTTGCCCTGGTTTGTTCTTAAATGCCTGTGCTCAGGGCAGGAAGTTTTCCTCACAACATTTAATGATGGGTCAAGCCCTTTTGAAATGCTCTTGCAAAGTGATAAGCAAAGCCATGTATTATAATTCTGAGAGCATACTGGAAAAAAATTGAGAAGTGTTGTTTTTGTTCCCTCTGGAATAAATAAGGTTTAGGTTCTTAAAAGATCCTGAAGGTCCAGGGATGGCTATTAGAGGCACCTGTATGACTGACTATTGAAAGGGCACAGGAAGCCTGTAGGTGCCTTTTGAAAATCCCTTTAGGCATGTGTTTGTATCCAGAGGGTCTTAAATATCTGTAAAAATTGGAAAACTGGTTTCTTTTTCCACATGAGTAGTTGCCTCCCTGTGAGACTTAGGCAGTCTCAGTCTGGTAAGCCTAAAACGGTGGTGTTCATGCAGCCAGCTTTATACTGAGAAACTTGTTTTTCTAGGAAGAATTGTTGTTTCCTGCACGCTTTATTCTTTCACTGTGCCCATCTGTGAAATGGGGCTGATTTGCAAGTATAGTGGGAGTGTTAGTTTATTCGGATAGGGAGTTCATTTTTAGACCTCTCCCAGCCAAAATGGTACATCAGGGATTTAAGACAAAATTATAGCTACTTTACAAGTACAGTCAGTTATCCTGAAAAATACAAGTTGCTGTTCTGAGACTCTAAGGGCTGCCAATGATTTACTCTTAAACTGGGTTTCTGTGAAAACTGTCTTTTTTTTTCAGTCCTGCAGTCATAAAATCTAGGCTATTTATATGTAAACCTGATGCAGTAGGCATCACTGGAAAAACAGTAAATCTATGTTTAGCATCAGTTCAATTCAGGGAAGAGTCTTGCATTGCAGAAATATCCAGCTCATAGAAGAGCTTATTTCACTTGTCTTGCAAACTTCCCAGGTCCTTTTTTCATGAAAATTGGATACCGCTTCTAAATGAAGGGACTAACCTGAACAAACTATGTACATGCTTGATTTACACATACAAGTTTTTAAAAATGTATTTTGATTTTGGCTCTGTGTTGAGTATTAGTTATCTGATTGGGGTTAAGGAGAGCCTCGGGAGTTGCTGTATGGTTTGAGAATGTGTGTTTGGATTCGTCTCAGAGGAGGAGGAAGATTCAAACTCCAGGTGAAGATTTTTGCTTGTGAAAGGCATTAACAAAAATATGTCTGCTTTCCTTTTACACAGGTCTTTTAAAGGTTCTCTATCTATGTTTCCTCCTTGTATAATTGATTTTTGCATTTTGTTTATGCCATACAAAGGTGTTCATATTCTCTTTTAATTGCAATCTGTTGATTATGCTGTCAGTCACTTTTACTGCGTGTTTATTGGCAGTGAAGGAATTTTAGCATCAAATAAAGTGTTGATTAACATCAGTACATTTCATTGCTCTTTTTCAGGACTACATATTTAGGCTGAGAGATGAAATTGCTTATGAGAGCAGGGAGTATTGCGTATTTCACTTAAAAGTAGATTACTTAAGTTGATATTTGTCTGAAGAATTGTGATATAACTAAGAAAATCTTCCTTTTGATTCTGAAAAGCTGAAATATGTATATTTTAAATGACAAGAGAAATCTAAAAACATTTTATTTTGGAGTTGACGATCTTTAGCTAATAGAGAAATGAAAGGCTAACTTTTCATCTGCCAGATGATAAGCAGAAACTTATAAGTTGCTAAATATTGTGGAGAGATTAAAACACTCACTTCATGTTCTACAGATATGTTCTTTAAAACACAATAAGAGCCGTAAGAATTAGTTGAAGAATGACCTCCAGTGGCCTGGAGTGGGATTATTATGAATTTCAACCTGTGGAGTCCAGCTCTGTAGAGTACGCAACCCCAGGAGCTAATTCTTTCCTTCTCCCTGCCAATACTGAAAACTCTTACTGGGATCCCAATGCAATCTCTGAGTGGTCAATGAGTATCCATACAGCACACACTTCAGAAATAGTCAAGGAGAAGGTTGTCTCGGTGAAGGAGATCAAGGATGAAAAAGATAAGAAAAACCAGAAGAGAAAGGCTAGAAAGGAACCTAGAAGATCAGAAAGAGAGAAGGAGGTTAGAAATCTTGCATCAATCTTGCCTTGAGCTTCACTCTTCTGTGGCTGCATGCTGTAAAATCTTGGATTGGCAGTATGGCATGAGAGCGCTCTTCTGAGGTGCATGACTGCATGGCGAGCTTTGCACTGGGTGCTTGGCATAGTGTTTCCTGCACCAGATATGCTTTTGGAGAACCCACCTGGAAAAAAAGTCACTTTAAAGCAAAAGCCTGAGCCCTGAAGCTTCTCTCTGGAAGCCCCATTTTAAGAAGCAGAAAATTAATTTCAAATGCAACAGTAATCCAGAGTTCATAATCATTTCTCTGAATATAAATAAGCAAAGTGGCTTATTTCTGTAGTCCCATTTAAGTGTCATTTCTGCTATAATTTCTTTCATTCATGTTTATTTTTCCATGCCTTGATGTCTCCTGCTGGTCACGCAGCATCATATATTGTTTAGAGTGAAATACGCCTTACACTATATTCATGATGATTGTCTTTGTTTAGGAAGGGGAGGGAGAGAAGCACATAGACACTGGAAAACGCTAGAGCACATGGCGTTGCCATTGTACCACTGGTTCAGAATATTCAGATATTTTTGTATGCCCTGAGAGTACTTTATGCTTGATTATATTTTCACTTTACAAGTGTTTTAAACCTTTTACCGTGAATTTAGTGATTTGATTTCAAAGCATAAGACTTTACAACTGCTGCCTAACACTTTGTTTAACGGATTGAAAGCACAAGTTTTTGCTGTTGGTTTTGGTGCCGTTCTCCAGTAGCAAGACAGTTTGTTTGGTCTTTTCTGCAAACGTGGAAAGGCAACGAGGAGGCAAAGCATGATGCTGAAAAGGGCTTTAAAGGAGATGACAGAGCTGATGGAGGCAGTAGAAAAAGGGAATGTGTAGGAAAAAAAATTGTCGGGGTCATAATATTTTTAAAATCAGATCAAGTAAAGAAAGTAACGTATTACAAACTGGTATAAACCAACTCTAGTTAAATTTGGGGATTGGAGACTTTAATAAAGAATCTATATCTATGTGCTTGCTATTCTTGTACCTTGTTAGAGACGGGAGAGTTAGGAGATGTACTAATATCTAGCTGGAACTCTTTCCGAAGTTTCAGATATAAAATAGGGTGAGTTTCAGATATAAAATAGATGTCAATCGAGTTGTTGAGTGTCTAGCCCCTGTGGCTGCATGCACTGCTTTAAGTTTATCAGCATCTGAAGGAACTCTAGGAGCCCAGAAGGTAATCGCAAACACCAGGATGCTGAGTGTATGCCACCTGACCTAGCCAAAATGCTAAAGGAAAGAGTAATGCCAAAATCTATGGAGAAGGTCAAGATTTACATGTCTGCCTTTCTTGAGGGTTCACAGCGTGGAGCCCTCTCTTGAAAGCAGGCGTTTAAGCTCTCTGTGAAGAGCGTGGGTTCCCCCTTTGGAAACATACCTCCTGAGACTAGGGCTTTTTGTGCGATAGCCCTATTACATGTAGAGCATGCAGGATGTGCAAGCATTCGTCCTGTAGATGAGGAGATCAAACTTGCATTCCCAATCTCCCAGCAGCATCCCCCTCTAGACTGGTGACTCTCAGTGTTTTTCTTAAATGTGGATCGCTTTCAGCAAGGAAACGCTCTCATTGCAAGATAAGCTGGGCGAGTACCGTAACCTGTTGCATAAAAGGCATCTGCCACCTCCTCCTCTGGCCTTATTTCAAAAGGTGGTGGACATGTTTGTAGTTTGTGTGAAGCATGTTCCAACAAGTGCTCTTAGAGGACGCTCACAGGGTGAGAGATAGGAGAGGAAATGCCTAAATTATGGGCTCTGGCAAGGCTTAACGTGAGATAAGTGCCAACCTGATGAGTCCGATAAAAACCGTGGTGCCTCTTGGCAGCATGCAGATTCAGCTGTTTGGGGAATTTGAATGAAACAGAGGAACTGTAGTTGCTTTCAGGGGTAGGCAGCAGCTAAGCAAGGAGTTTTAAGATTTTAGACTTAGGTGCCTTACTTCTATCAAGTCTCACTTAGGTACTTGAGTGTCTTTTTGGCTTCAGGCCTACATTTGTCTTTAAGCAAACTCAGTTCTGTCATTTCTTTCAAGGTCACGCTTCTGTGACACTGCACGGGAGTTACCCCTCTTCATTGCTACTGATTTGCAGTCTGTTCTTAGGATGTAAATCACTTACAAATAGGATCATAAATTGTGTCCAACATAACATTCTGGGCAATTAGTATGCATTTACAGGTGATTTTTTTCTCCGAGTCCCTGGAACAGTCCTCTCATGCCTTGCTAAAGGCAAAACTCTTGAGAAGTGTGTTTTGAGACAGTTATTTTAGCAATTAATAAAAAAGATACACAAGTCAGTGATTAAACTGTTTGAAAGTTCATGCTCTGAAAAAAATACAAGTCACTAGCTGACTACATAAAAGGCAAGATATTAGTTTCCTCCTCCTCTATTAATGAGGAGGAAAGAATTTTAAAAATAGTGATGTGATCCAATAGTGATTCAATATTATTAATACCTGGGTTACTCAGTAACTCACGAAGTAGTGAGAATCAGTCTTTTGATTCAGCTCCCACAGCACCTTAAGTACTTTTAAGTTTAATGTGTATGCTGAAGTCCAAAGGAATGGTTGACAAAATCCTGCCCTGTTGACTTAGGCTCCTGAGGGTTTTAGGGGTCTTTGTCAGGAAAATTACATGGGAACCTGAAGTTCCACTACTGCTTGTGCCTAGAGGCACTGCTGTCATGGTAAGGCTAAGGGTCTTGATGCTTATCTCCCCTGGCCTTAGAGTTTATGACCTCTTAAGGGTTCATAGATTAGGTGTCTTGGCACTTCACTCCTAAGGAAGTCTGAGCCTATAAAGAAGTGTGAGCCTAGTGATGTGGCCATACATGTAGGGGTAGAGGGTCACCATTCCCAACAGCGTTGATGAATTTCATCTATTACTGTTGTAGTGTAAAACACATAGTTGTGAATGAGCTGAGCAGCACCTGAAGACTGGGCCCTCTTCAAAGAGGGGGAGCAGCTGTGATGTGGCACTGTGCCCCAGCCTCCAACCGGTTTCCAGCGAGCCTTGCCCTTTACTGTGGGATAGGAGGCAGTGATGTCCTGAAGAAGGGCAAAGTGAGCTCGTCGACTGTGCTCCCCGTACAGTTCAAGAATCTGAGCGCCTCCAACCGGTTTCCAGCGAGCCTTGCCCTTTACTGTCGGATAGGAGGCAGTGATGTCCTGAAGAAGGGCAGAGTGAGGTCATCGTCTGTGCTCTCTGCACAGTTCAAGAATCTGAGCGAGGGGGGAAAAGAGGATTTTAAATTGGTTTCTACCTTGTCTTTCCTGGCAGGTGACTCTGTCCAGGAAAGGTAGGATTTGAGAGGTCCTTTGACGTTCCTTGTTATGTGGATTAAGTGTTTACCCTGTCAGCATGCTGACTGGATCTTATTCTTAGATGCTTGGCTCTCCCCTTGCATGTGTAGCAAATGTGTCAGCATCCAATTTCACTTCTTAAACAGGGAGGCTACAAGTCAGGTGTGATGAGACACACTCCTGCGACACTCGAGTCCCTCACTGCAGTTACTTTCATGGGGTTGGGTTAACGACAGGAACAGCACTGACTTAAATTGGCCCAGCGAGAAGATCTTTAAATACAAACTAAATCCAATCCAGTCCAAGCTGTTCGTGCCCACAAATCTAATCTCCTCCATAATCAATTTTTCAGACTGTAAAGAAGCAGGAACCAACTATTTATTGTTAAAGCCACTGCTAAAGGTCCGTCCATCACAGTGGCAGATATCATTTTTTTCTACTCTTTATTACAGTGTCTTCTATAGTTTTGCATTGCAGCAGTATAATTTAGGAGTGATAGACTGATGGATTGCTTTCTATTTCGTGGCAGGATAAAATGACCTTTGCACTCTCCCCGTTATCCATTGCTCTATTAACAGTAGCTGTGCCAGTCCTCAGTACCATGAGGATATTGAAAAGGATGCTAAGTCCTTTTCTGGCATGTTAGGCAGTACATTTCTGTGCAGTAGCAGTTACTGGAAAGTATTTGACAGTTGTACTTGTGAGATAATATATTCTGGATATATTTTCCATAAAATTTTGGTTACTTTTAAATTTAGGGATAAATATACAAGTTCAGAGAATTGGCAGTGCTTTGGAATACTTTGTGTTTTTCTGAAAGTCCCAGCTCCTGGAACCATTACCGTCTTTGTTCAAAATTCTCCTAAAATAAATTTTCCGTCTTAACAGGGACAAGGACAGAACTGTGAAAAGCTGACCTCTAAAGACAAAGCACAGATAGCAAATTAGAAAAACCCTCAACACACGATTTAAAAAAAATCATCTTCCTGATTATAAGCCAATTCAGTGATTTACTGAACCATTTTCTAATTCTCCTACTAATTGCCTTTGAGAACAAATTATTTAAATTATCGAGTTATCTAAATACTTGCAGTCTATATGACACAAAAAGTGGAAATCTCCTCAGTTTTAGTATTTAGTGTAATCTGATATTATCTGATAAAGAATTGTAGCAGAGAAATTTTATATCTATTTAGGACCAGCTTCCTCTGCAAGCTTTCTTCCTTGGGTACATTGCATATCTCTACCATTCATGTGGTTTTGGTGAACATTATCTAGCTAAGCAAAAATGGATTGGATTTGCAATCTGTTGTTCATCCATAAAATGGCTGTGTGCAGCCTTGCAACGAAGTCTTTGTGCCTGGACTCATGGGCTGTGTTTCAGCATTGCAGGTTCAAAGTAACTACAACGGAAAACCAAGACAGGTTGTTCGGAAGCAGTGGAACTAATGCGGCTCGGTTTCCTTCAGATTTGTGTTGTACCACGTAAATGCTCCTATTCCCTCTCTTTTATCACAGTCTCACACACCTGCAGTATGCTTAGTTCCCTTCCACACATCTCCTTATCTTTCTCATCCCTTGCCCAAGCACACACATTAAAAAAAAATATGTATCTCCAGATGTCCCCCATGCACAGGGCAGAGCAAGAGGCAGCGTGTGCTGTGGGATGTGGGGAGCTGTCGATGGACGGGGCAGTGAGCCTGAGCTTGTAGCTGTAGGCCAAATGGTGCGGGTAACTGTGTAGCTCCCTTGTTAAAGCCTATAAATTGATTCTCCCTAGCCTTCCATTTGTAGAAGGCTTGTAGAAAATCAGTCTTGGTATCTCTAGCTCAGCAAATGAGTTCAACAGTTATCAGAGGGCAGATCGATTGCAGTCAGACAAGATGACCACATCAACATCATTTCTTTTGGAAACTGGGCCATGAAAGTTTGACACTGGTGTAGGAAACTCACTTTTCGCTGCTGTGTGGCAGTTCAATGAGAAATGAAAGTCATCTGGACCTTAAGACTACTCGGGTGCTTGAATAAAATAAGTTGATAGTCTCACAGTTGGGGTCCTCATCCTACAATTACGTCCACTCTTAGCACTAATTGGTAATTCATCAGAGATGTTGAAGAGACTGACCTCATCTCACACTCCTTATCCAAGCAGGATTGATGGAGCAGTCAGAGCCAAAACAGTAGTGCCTCATCCAGTTAGTGTAACTACTGGAGGATCAGTATGATGAATTACTACAGCCTATAATTCCCTTTAGTTCCCCATAGATACTGTTGGTTATTAGATGCGTGGAGCCAAGTGTATTAGATTCACTGCCCTCTAATACTACAATATTTTTAGAACACTTCAGTGCTGTGTATGGGATTGTGATGAGTTGTAAGGTCTTGTAAACAATTGATCTGCAGCTCTCTGATGCATACAATAACTTCATTAATCTTGGAAACTTTAATAGTTGTTTACTGGGACTGTTTTCAAACGCAGCTTGGATTTAAATAGTATGTGTGTTGAAGATGCAACCTCTGTGTGTGTGTTGTATGCATTTGTGTTAAGTCAAAATTAGGTGGAAAGGATATGGATTAAAAAAATTGCTTTTTTTTTTTTTTTGCAGGGTGATCAGACAGCATTGCACCGGGCTGCTGTTGTAGGGAACACCGATGTCATAGCAACTCTCATTCAAGAGGGGTGTGCTTTGGACAGACAAGACAAGGTAACAAGCAAAAGCAGAGCCCTGTGGCATGCCAGCCTTGCTAGCCAGTAATGCTAAGGTCACAAAGAATAAGTTATGATTTGTACTCCTGAGTAGATATCTAATGCTTTGAAAGTAATTGGAACAGTTGCACTGGGGTGGGGGAAGATGTACCATATCTTTAATCGCAACTTCAGATTTGCTTACCTTTTGACCAAGGTGATCATTTTTGAATTAATTCACCCTACCCAAAACACTGCATGATTTCCCTTGCTTACCCAGAAACTGAGAATTCCAGACTGCAAATTTAGTTTGGAAATAAGCCTAACTAATTCCAAGTTCCAAACAAAAGCTTCGGTGGCATTCTCTCTGTTTGCTAGATGTAAGAAGAAGTACAAGGTAAATATAGGAAGAGGGAGAAGGTAGAAAGATAAAAATTCTATAGGGTTCTAAGACATCTCTAGATTACCTTGAGGTATCTTTTTTACCTGCTAATCCTATTTATCTTTTAATCTGATGGCATAAGCGTATGTTCTGTGATGAGAACTTACTATGTGTCTTAAGTTACACTCAGAGAAAAAACATACCTGTAGATGGTTCCCACCACAGGCCTCCTTTGAGCTATTGTGGAGTAGAATCACAATCAAAACCACCATGATCTTCTGTCCCAAATACCCAGCTGACTTTTGAACTAAAGGACAATTATTGGGTAGCCATCAGGAGCTTCAGAAATTACAGCTTTTATGGGAAAGTTGTGGGAGAAGAAGGTGATAAATATCAGGTTTCACTCCAGCCAATACAGAGCAGTGGAGCACGGCTGGTACTCACAAGGCAGTGTGGCATTATGCTTGGGTGGGAACTGAAGCATCACTGAAGCAGAGGTATGGAAGAGAGGAAAGTATACAGCGTGTTTGTGGAAGTTATTTTAAGTCTGGTATATTTCTGCTTCTGCTAAAAAGAAAATAGGAAATTAGATAGTAGGAAAGGAAGATTTATTTGTTAAACGACCAGAGAGCACATGCAGTTGCTGCATTCTGAATGCAACATTACTCTGTGTGTGGACGCAATACACTAAACTTGTCCTCTTGTGTGTGTGCTCTCCAGGACGGGAACACTGCTCTTCATGAAGCTTGTTGGCATGGATTCAGTCAGTCTGCCAAACTGCTCGTTAAAGCAGGAGCTAATGTTCTTGCCAGGAACAAGGTGAGGCACTTACACAAGGAGCTTTCAGTGCTGATGTAGCACAGCTGATTCTCATCCCTGGAGATTTCTGGTCATGACATTTCTCAGGAGGTGGACACCAGCTCATATTGGGATTTCATGTTCTTTTTGCGTTAATCATGCCTAGATGATTCTTCCACAGGTGTTAGGAAATTCATAAAGTGCTGTTGAGCACTTTAAATGATACATTAATTATGGCTGAAGAACAGTGGTATTCCTATGGAAATATCCACAGTACTCTAGTTTATAGTGAGTGGATTCATTGTGATCGGCGTAACATGAAATGAACGTGAATTGTACTAATAGGAAAATGGCATTCAAAATCCAATTTTTGAGAAAATAGCCAAATGAATGTAAGTTACAGAGGAAAAAAATAGTGATTCTTATGTTAGAAAGTTCTTTTTAATACATTACCGTAGGCCCTTATTGAAAACTTATAAAGAACCTGGCATATCTTTCTTTTGGTATCTTTTCTTTTAGCCGGCTCTGCAAGCTCTGTGACTCCTGCGAGCAGCTTCTCATGCACTGCAGGCTGGGCAGGACCTCTGTGCCTTCCCGCCAGTGCTGACACTTCAGATGGCTATTCATAAAAGCATCTCAGAGGCTTTTCAGAGATTGTTCAGAAAGAAGAATTGTTGTGTCAGACACAACTTGGAAACTAAGTTCAGGCCTGAAATAGTTTGTAATGTGGAATCAAAGACGGAAGACCACATCTGAGAGTCGTCCCTTTGTAATTCAAATCCTGTGACTTTGATCAGTGTCTTGAAAGCTAGAGGGACAAAATAAAGAAGATAATCAAGGTGAAGCAGACAGTCTAGTAAGCGTGTGAAACCTTTTCACTCGAGCTGATTTCATTTCTGGTTCTCAAGGACCGAAAAAGCAAACATTTTCAGGCCAGCAAAAGCTAAATACTGTCAGAAAACCTGTCAGACCAATAAAATCCTGGCTTAAAAAAAGCAAATCACAGGCAAACTCTCTTTTTAGTTTTCTCCCAGTAAAAATTGCATATTTACTTCTTTCTGGAACCTTAACATGTGATTCTCTGGAGGTGTTGGGGTTGGGGTGTTCTGTTTTCCTTCTCATCTTGCCTGAAGACTTTCATGCTTTGTGAGCATCCAAGCTCTCCTGTAGCCTAAAATCTGCACCCTGCCCCGTGTAAGCACATACAGACACCCAGGCAGAGTTGGATGGGGGTTAGGATGGAGCTGTATAGTGATCATAAGCAAACAGAAGTTGGTCTGAAGTTGTCTGTCTAACACCCTGCAGCAATCACGGCAGGCTTTGCTTGAGATCTAAGCTGCAACGTCATGACAGTGTGTTTGCCTAAACACAAGGATTAGATTTCTGTGGTAGAAGCGTCCAAGTGAATACGCTTTTGTACTTCAGCATGCAAAAATAAACACACATGGTAAGATGAAGAAGTAAACCATCTAGTGAGGAGTGGGGAACTCAACTCCCCTTTGCTTTGCTAGGTGGTGGGACGGGGTAGCCAGCAGGACTTGCACGTTGAACCTGCTTTCCCAGGCTTGGCAGGGTGCAGGATAGGCACTCCTGGGGAAACAGCTGCTCGGAGTGTGAATGCTGTAGGTTCCTCCTTTGCCTCCCTCCCGCCTTTCTTTTCCGCTTATATGTGCTAATTTTTAGATGTTTGCATCAGATTAGGCACAGACAGAGAAAAGTAGGAAAGGAAAATGTTATGTAGATGATAGGAATGAAAGCCAGACTGTGTCCTAAGGAGTATCAAGACATCAGAAGTTTTATTTCTTTAAATTAAGTTCTTGATAATGCTGTTTGTTTCTAGTGACTCAGAAAGTTTCTAGATTGTTTACTTCCTGTAAACACACTGAGCAATGCAGATTTCCTTAGACAATCCAACTCCTGCCTTTACGATATCCCAGATAAACGATTTCATGCTGCAGAGGGTATTTTAATCGCCAGGTTCATTCGGCTCATAGCTTGTTGAAATAACAGCGATAGTCTCCCACTGCTGGGTGGGAGATGCTTCTCTCCTTGTGGGGAGAAATGTGAGATTTTATTTTTTAATGCTTTTTTAAATGATGTATGTCCAGTTTCTAAAGATGGCTTTTGTATTTTCCTGTATTTCTCTAAGGCAGGTAACACACCTCTTCACCTGGCTTGCCAAAATAGCCATTCCCAGAGTACTCGTGTTTTATTGCTTGGAGGATCTCGAGCAGATCTCAAAAATAATGTGAGTTTTAAAAAGGACATATGTTAACTTTTGTGTGCTGTTTTGTATTAACTGTATTACTCCAAGATGCAGAAAATGCTCAAAAGCATTTCAACTGTGATTTTTGTTATAAAGGCTGTTGAAAAAACACTAACAAATCAAGGATATGTTGTATGCAGGAATG